TGATTTGAATTTTCCTATGATCTAGTGAAGTTGTGCATCTTCATATATCTGTTGGTTGCTTGTATATGTCTTGGGAGAAGTGTCTATTTAGGTCATCTACTCATTATTTTTTTTTATTGAGTCATATGAATTCTTTAGCCCCTTATTTGCAAATATCCTCTCCCATTCAGTTGTTTGCCTCTTGGTTTTGTAGGTTTCTTTTTGCCGTGCAGAAGCTTCTTAGTTTGATATAGTCCTATTCACTTATTTTTGCTTTTACAATTCATAAAATGCTCTCTAAATCCAAGGTCCATGAGTTTAGTACCTGTGTTTTCTTCTATGCAATTTATTGTTTCAGGTCTTTTATCTATTTTGAGTTTTGTATAAGAAAGTGATCCAGTTTAAATATTTTTTTTTTTGCATGTACCTGTCCAATTTTCCCAACAGCACTTATTGAAGAGATTGTCTTCACCCTCTTGGATGTTTTTCGCTTATTTGTTGAAAATATTTGCCCATATGAATGTGGATTTATTTCTGGGCTCTCAGTTCTTTCCATTGATCTGTATCTTTTTCTGCCAGTACCATGTGGTTTTGCTTATTGCAGCTTTGTAGTACAGTTTGAAATCAGAAAATGTGATACCTTCCACTTTGTTCTTTCGCAAGGTCTCTGGCTTTGGGGTGGGGGGGGGTCTTTTGTGGTTCCATATAAATTTTAAAATTAGTTGTTCCAGTTCTGAGAAGAATGCCTTTGGTATTTTAATAGAGTTTACATTGATTCTGCATATTGCTTTATGTAGCACAGGTATTTTAACAATATTAATCCTTCCGATCTGTAAGCATGATATATCCTTCCATTTATTTGCATCCTCTTCAATGTCTTATAGTTTTCACAGTACAGGTCTTTCTTGTCTTTGGTATTGTATATACCAATAACGAACTATTATAGAATTTTTAAAAATTCCATTTACAATGCCTCAGAAAGAATAAAATACCCAGGAATAAATACAACCAAGAAAGTAAAGGGCCTACACTCAGAAACTATAAGACATTGAAGAAAGAAATTGATACAAGATATACCATACTCATGGATGGGAAGAATTACACCATCAAAACATCCACACTACTCAAAGCAATCCCTATCAAAATACCAATGACATTTTTCATAAAACTAGAATAGTCCTAAAATTTACATGGAACCACCACAGAAGACCCCAAATAGCTGAAGTAATCTTGAGAAAAAACAATGTTGGAGGTATCACACTACCTGATATCAAAGTATGCTACAAAGCTATAGTAATCAAAACATCTTGGCACTGGCATAAAAACAGACACATAGATCAATGGAACAGAGTGACCAGAAATAATCCCATACCTATATGGTCAATCTCAAAGGAGGCAAGAATGTACAATGGGGTAAAAACACAGTCTCTATAATAAATGGTTCTAGGGAAACTGGACAGATACATGTAAAAAAAATGAAACTGGATCACTTTCGTACATCATACAAAAAAATAAACTCAAAATGGATTAAAGACTTAAATGTAACACCTAAAACCATAAAAAAAAACACCCCTAGAATTAAGTAGTAAACTCTCTGACATCATCTTTAGCAATACTTTTTTGGATATGTCTCCTTAGACAAGGGAAATGAAAGAAAAAATAAATGGGTTTACATCAAACTAAAAAGTTTTTGCACAGTGAAGAAAACCATCAACTGGGATAATATATTTGCCAATGATACATCCAATAAGAGATTAATATCCAAACTATATAAGAAACTTAACACCAAAAAAAAGCCCCGATCTGATTAAAAAATGGGTAGAGGACCTGAACAGACATTTCTCCAAAGAGGATATGTAAATGGAAAATAAACACATGAAAAAATATTCGATCATCAGAGAAATGCAAATTAAAGCCACAGTGAGATATCTCACAGCTGTCAGAATGGCTATCTTTAATTAATCAACAAATATACGTGTTGGCAAAGATATGGAGAAAAGGGAACCTTTGTGCATTGCTGATGGGAATATAAATTGGTACAGCCACTATGGAAAACAGTATGAAAGCCTCTCAAAAAAAACAAACAAACATAAAAAAACTACCTTAAGACCTAGGAATTCCACTTCTGGGTATTTATCTGAAGAAATCCAAAACATTAATTCAAAAATATATATATACCCTATGTTCACTTATTTACGATAACCAAGGTATGGAAGCAATCTAAGTGTGCACCAGTAGACAACTAGATAAAGAAGATGTGGCACATATAATCAATGGAACATTAGCCATAAAAAAGAATAAAATCTTACCATTTGTGACAACATGGATAGACCTAGAGGGTATATGCTGAGTGAAATAAGTCAGAGAAAGACAAATATATGATTTCACTTTTATGTGGAATCTAAAAACCAAAATAAATGAACAGGAGAAATAGAAATAAACTCAGAGAACAGATGGTTGCCAGATTGGAGGTGGGGGTCAGAAGGCTGGGTAAAAGGGGCTAAGAGGTATAATTTGACAGTTATAAAAATAGCACGGGGATGTAAAGTACAGCACAGGGAATATAGTCAATAATATCATGTCATATGGGTACTAATCAGTTTGTAAGGTATATAAATGTCTAATCACTATGTTTTACACCTGAATCTAATATTGTATGTCAATAATTATAATTACCATGAGAATGTAATTAAGTGAAAAATAAATTTTTAAAAAGTCAATGAGGAAAGATGATCTTAATAGAAAAGTACAAAGTTTATGAGCAGGAAATTCACGAAAGAGAAAATATAAATGGCTAATAAACATATGTACAGACAACCAAATTAAAACAATGTATTATCATGAATAAAAAGGTATGTAAAAAAAATACAGCTAACATCACATTTTACCCTCAGGTCAGGAACAAAGATATCCAATATCAATTATAGTCAGCATTATTATACGAAAGATCTTAATGCGATTAGGTAAGAACAACAAAAGGATATAATGATTAGAAAGGAAAATAAAAAAGTATTTGTAGAGGACTAATTTGTAAAGAAAAATCTAAAAAATATAGAAACAATTATAATTGATATAAGACTTTAGCAAATTTGCATACTATATATCAAGTACATACTATGAGCCAGGCACTGTCCTAAGCCTTTTCTATGCATTAACTCATTTAATCTACACAAAGACCCTATGAAGTACTTACTCGTATTATCTTCACTTTAGAAATGAGGAACTTGAGATTACATAGCTGCCCAAGTTTTCATAATAAACTTTAGGGCTGGGATTTGAACCCAGGTAATCTGTTTGCAAACCTTCTGCTCTTAGTTACATGCTAAGATAAATAGCTTGGTTTTGATTACAGAGAAATCTGATTCCTTCAATAAAAGTGTGGCATTCTTAGCTTCCTGTCAACCCCATCCAAGGGAAATGACTGTCCCCACTATACCCTCTACTGATTCATACTGCAGCATCTTATGATACTTTATTACGCTTACTCTTTATATCTCTGGCTTCCTTCACTAGCCTATGCCCTCTTGAGACCTGGGACTGTGCCTTACTCCTTATATTTCTAGTGCCAAGCGTAATATCTGCCTGGACAGAACAGGGCTCAACAGATGGTCTGCTGAATCAATCAATCGCGTGATGAATGATAACTCCTTTTTCTTTGGTTCATCAAATTTTCCAACTCATTTTTGTTTTCTGGTGATTTACTACAAGGGACAGAACACAGTGTCATGACAAGTCTGATGTGATTATAGGCTTTTGGCACAATCTCTATGGATCAAGACACTGCTTCCTTTGCATTTAACTCAAGAATCCTCGCTCGCTGAGGGCCCAGACAAGATGTTTAGCTGAATGCAGCTAGAATTTGCATTTATGATAAACAGGATAAAGAAGAAAAGGATAAAGTAGAATATTTTCATACTCATTTCTAAGTATTCGTCGAAGAGTCCGTAGGCGTTCATGGGCTGAAGGTTGTAGTCCCTTTCCCATTGTGGGAAACTGATTTTCCTTTCGGGCCCATGTTCTTGTCGTACTTTTCTTCTAGTCCACCAATTCTGAATTAACCTGCACAACAAGAGCTATTTGTTTAAAATATAAATTTATATATCTATATAACTGTTCATGAGACTTCAATAAGAGTCCACATATAGTCATAGTTTAACCCATTTCCTGTTTGGCCTGAGAATGCTTGCTGGCAGTGCTTGTGTCTTTAGCATGTAGCCCGAGATAATTCACGGATTACAGTCCTAACCTTACCCCCAGTGTTTGCTGTGAAATACCTCGCTTTATTACTTTTGCATTGGTCTAGAATATCGATAGTCTTTGGAAGCAAATGACATCATTCTGTTTTTAGTTGTTCTATCACTGAAAATGTCAAATCCTAGAAAACATAGCATTCCTATGAGTGATGTTAAATGAATTCTGGCAGTGAGCTGCACCTTTTTTTTCTAAACGGGAAAAAGGTTAAAAAAAAATATTAGGACAGGCTACCAGGGAAATAAGGCCTTGGATTAGGAATAACAATGGAGGCTATATGTCAAGTATTTTTACTTCCCAATGAACAGAATGACTGATGAACTTAATCACTCACGAAACTGTCTCAGATTCAGCGTTGCCTGTGAGAATTGGAGAGAGGACTGAGAACATCTGTAAACTAACCCCCCAGTACGAAGGCAACACCCAGGTATCTTACGGGTCTAAGCTTTCAGAGGAAGATCTGGCCTAGCTGGTTTAATTAAATTATGGTTTATACTTTAAAGTAGAATATAATGCCTCTAGTTTAAAATTTTTTATGCTTTAAAAAGTTTTACAGAAAACATCAAACACTTGGAATAAGTTTTCTAAAAATAAATCTATGAAAATTACTAGTATTGGCTCTGCCAGGGAGCTAAGAGATGCCTTTTCAAAGTGAACCAAGTTCCAGCTAATTTTTCTGGCTAAGTGATCCTCCCTGAAACCTAGAGTTCTTTATGGGACACACCAAGCTGACACAGAAACCAGTAAGTGTAGAATTAAAGCAGAAATAGAAGTGTTGATGCTTTATGTCCCTTTCAAACTTAACCGATCTGAGCGAACAGCAGAATTTGAAGTTATCCTTACAAAGGTGATGTAGGTTTTTGCCCATTGTCATCAACGTAAACTATTATGATAATATTTTTACTGATTAAGATATTCTGACTTAGAAATACCCTGGTTTCTTTTCTGAACCCCTAAACATTTCTCCTTTCCATGAGTTTCTTTTCTGTACAGTCTGAATTTAAGGTAGTTAAAAAAAAATTACCATTCCTGATTTATCTCAGAAATGGAGGAGTGGAGATCTAGTAAAGAATATCCATTTTTTTTCATGTGACTTGTGCTAGGTCTTCCGAAAGAGCCAATGTTTATTATTTTAGAGTCTGTCTTTGAATATCTGAGCATGAACACTTAGCTCCAGGTATACGCACTGGCCGAGCTGCTGAATCTGCATTGCTTATCTTACTTGCCACACCTAGAAAAGCCAATAATGAGCAATGCTGCCTCTCCACCACAGATACCAAAGGTACTTACGGGTAGCCAAGTTCCATGAAATTATTCCAGGTCTGCTTTAGCACCATTATAATACCCATTTGCATACAGAGATCAATAAGGCATCCACTAGGGTGGCACTACGAGGTAAGCAAACACAGAAATTCAAGAATCAATGGGGAGGAAGAAAGGGTGTCTGGTTTTTAGTATGTACAAAGTGCCCTAAGGCTGTTAATGCAAGGCTGAAGGAAACAAGGAATGATGGGAGAATACAGACCTCTTCTAGTCTCCATCTGTTTATCAGCCTCAAGTAGGCACCTGGGTGTCCTGTAAATCTTCAACACACAGAAAAACAAACCATTAGCATCTTATAGGTCTAAGCATTTAGTGGATATTATGTTTAGATTAGCACATCTTCTAATGACAATTGCTGGTACAGTAAGTATCATGTGTTAGGGAATTAGGAAACTCTTCAGAGCTGTCATAACTGTATCTTCTAGAATTCTCCAAGGTGTATGTCCCTTTGGCCTTACTATCTGGCTGTCGACCACAGAGGCCAGTTCTCGTTGCTTGCTGTGACTATAACTCTTCTGCTGAATATCAAGTGCCCTGGCCTGTGTAAGCAGCAGGTTGGCTTGAAACACATTCTGATCTTTTTGAATTATAGTAATGATTATTATTTTTAATTTTAAATTTTTTTGGTGACATTGGTTAACAAAATCCAGTGTTTTAGGTGTACTATTTAACAGTAAGGCGTATCTCTCTCTCTCTCTCTATATATATATCTATATCTATATCTATATCTATATCTATATCTATATCTAAATCTCTATATCATCCATCCATTTATCCATCTGTCCGTCCATCCATATCTATATCTATATCTATATCTATATCTATATCTATCTATCTATCTATCTATATCTATCTATATATATCTATCTCTATATCTATCTATATATAGATATAGAGATAGATAGATATAGTGCATTGTGTGTTCCCCTCTAATAGGAATGGTTTTTTTAAAAATTAAACTATTTGACCAGAATTCCATACTGAAGTAGCTAAATATTGAGGAGAGGCTGTTGCATCGTCTCACCAAAACCCAATCCTCAGCCCGTCCCTGGTTCTCATCTGCTCAGAAACACTTCCTGGTGTGATGGAATTCACAGGACACGGCCATGAAAATGTGAGATCCTTTCCAAATCCTCCTAACTGCTGGATTCAGAAGTTACCCAGGCAGTACTGGCATCCTGTATCGTCAGTCCCCTTTCCTGTCTGGATGTCCCACTCTCTTCCGTAACGTCAAGGATAAAGTCAGGACATGCTGCAGGCCACCCTCCCCCTCATGCCACCTGCTCATATAGGTGTGAGATGCGGGGGCTGGATTCAGGTGCAGATGGAGTACACAGTTTTAAATTCATCCTTTGTATGTGCAAATGATTTTCCTCGACTTACCTTATCAAGAAAAGGTACACTTATACTTTAAAGCGAAGACCATTTTCTGGGAGTGGGAAGGAAAAGGAGGTGGCTGATCTTCTGCAAGAAAAGGTACACTTATACTTTAGAGCGAAGACCATTTTCTGCGATGGGAGTGGGAAGGAAAAGGAGGTGGCTGATCTTCTCTTTTTACACTTTGTATAAATCACTCTAAAGGAGGGACTTCTCTGTCACCCCTGGTCAGTGACCTCTGTGTCCTGTCCCCAGCCCAGGGAGTATGGACAGATGGGTTCTTACCTTCCGAGGAAGAACGCGATGTAAAATGTGGAGCTGTTCAGATTGACAAACTGAAAAAGAAACATTTTCAGGGTGAAGCTGTTCTCCCACTCGGACTCCGTGCGAGGCTGTTCTGTGGGTGAAAGGGGAGCAGAGTTTGAAAGGCGGCATCTGACCCATCTCAACTCCCTCTGTCCCCCTCCCCATGCACACAGGGTGGTAACAGGCACCCCAACGAGGCTGCGGGAGACTTCCGTTTGCCTATAGATGGAGACAAAGTGGACCACCCATGGGATCCTCAAGCTTGTAGACCAGCCCCAGAAAGGGTTTGGTGCGAAGCGGTTACTGACGTGTCCGAGGGGACAGAATATCCAGTTTGTTCCATTGTTACAGGAGGCCCAGGGAGTCTGCAGTAGAGACAGCCAGGCTGAAGGGGCCTTGTCCCTAGTCCTGGCTCTCTGCAGGAGTCCCTCCTTTTGCTCTTAGTTTCCGCCTGTGGGGAAGACCCCGTGTAGGGTCGGGTCCCCTCCCAGATCCTAAAAGTTCTTTGGTCTCAACTTCTATTTCTGGTGAAATGCCAGGCACTACTAAGTGAGAAAACCAGATCCCTGTCTCAGAATGTTGATGCATTTGACTTCTTTACCTGTTACCCTCAGCCATCATTTTTCATTCTCATAGATGAATGCCAAGGAGATGACCTCATTTTTAGAGCTTTTACTGTATATCATCATTTGTGTCTTACAATTTCCTGACATCAGTCAGGCACCGATCCTTATATTTCAGCTTCTATAAAGCAAATGCTCTTTGGATATTGTGATATGAACCAAAATATGGACCAAACCTACAAGTTGACATCTCATGTCAAATGTACTTATCCTTCCCTAGGAGCTGCATCCTCACCCCAAGCCATGCCAAAGAAAATGTATTTAATGCAATGAGGTTTTCTCTGTTTCCACATTCTCTGAGCTTTTAATCACTCATTTACCATTTCAACTCAATTCCTTTTCCGTGAATTATAACCCAAAATGCTTCCTGGGAGCATATCAGAGAAGAGAAAGAAAGAGAATTTTATTTAAAACAGTTTAAAAGTCAGCTTCAGAACAAGGCTGCACTGCTGTTGAGGGAAGAAAAGAAAAAGGATTTTAAAGGGTTTTAACTTTCTTTCACTTCTGCTGTTGAAATCTCAGTTATCAGGTGTCAGTCAGCTGGGTGAATTTCCAGGTGTCCCAATTACAAATGGACCAGTGCTGTATCTCCATTGGCATCTCTGCCAGCCTGGCTCAAGGTGCCACTGGGCAGTCTACCAATGCATAGTTACCTTTCTGTGGACATAAACCTCTATCTTTTTGGCAGGGGGTGATGACGATGGAAGATTTCAATGACATTAAAGGAGATATGCCAAGTGCTCAGCTCTGTATCTGGTACACAGAAGGACTCAACAAATAGCATCTTGTTTATAATGGTCATTATAAATAAAAATACCTTTGTGATTTTTTTTCTCTCTGGACAAGCTGCGCATGGGAATGCACCAAAATAGGTCATGTGTGGAACACATAATTTCCTCAAACTGCATAGAGGAAAATGACTAATATCGCAATAATAAAATTGGGACACTTTCTATATCTTCAAAATGTGGAAAATATACAGCATATAGCTGGCTACCAGGTTGTTGTAGTATTTTATGGAGTCAGACAAATGTTCTTAGGGGTGACTCACCAGATAAATGTTCTTTTAACAAATTTCTGATTGTTAGCCTGCCTACATTCCAAGTAGAAGTTCTCCAGCCTTCAAAGCCTGAAACTTTGCTGTGATTTTTCTTATAGCATGAAAACTTGATACATTTTAAAATAAATAAAAATTGTAGGCAGCAAATGAACACTTTTCTAAACGATTCTGGGCACTATACGCGTGTTTTTGTGATGATTTATTTTTTTGTACGTTAAGAGAAAACCTACTTTAAATTACATTAGCTCATGATAGATAATGTTTGTGACAAGTTTTAAAGCTTTAGACAGAAAAGCTCCCCCAGTTATCAGCCATATTTAAAATATCCTGTCGAGGGCAAAGAACAAATTGCTGTATGCAATTCCAAATAAAGGAAATATTTCTTTACAGCAATGTTTTAGAAATGAACCTTTGAAAAGGTATTTTCCAGAGTACAAACTGTACCAGAAATAAAAAAAAGTGTGACTTACCTAAATTTGTCAGAAGAAGTGCAACTTTTTCATAGAGCTGTAAAATAAATTTCATATGTTTAATAGAAGAACTGTATGTGTTCTAAAATCTGTAATTATAAAGGAAAAGGTGATCAAGTCACGAGCAAAAACAGTTTAGTGAAAAACTGTTTCACTATCCATCCATTGCTCAAACAATGATGATAATGTGAACAATTGTGTCCTTTCAGGGCAAGAAGGAAAGGTACGAGGTCCCATTTTATTGTTTTTAAAATCTCCTCATTTTGGAGTGAATAATTCTGTGACAACAGGGCTAGCAGCCACTAATTACTGGCTTGCTAAGTGATTCTGGGCAAGTTGTAACATTCCTGGGCCTCACCATTCTCAGTGTAAAAATCTCAGACTGCTTCTGGGGGTAAGATTCTATATTGCTTACTGTTTATGGACTGCTGGACTTTCTAGCTTATAGCTTTCATAAATACTGAAGTGATCAAATGTTATTGGGAATTCCCATTATGATACTCTGCTTTTCCATTAGTATGTTAGATGCATCCTTAAACTCCCCCAGTCATCTGCTAAATGGAGGCCTTAAGAGAGAAAGAAAGTGTGTGCGTGTGCATGTGTGTCCGTGTATGCATGTGTCAATGGAAGTGCAGGGTGTACTGTTCAAGGCAAATTCAAGTCTAGGCAATTCCCCAGAGAGGGTATTAACTAAGAAAAAGAACAAGTGCCTTATCTAAAATGAAAGATGATAAATGAAAAGGAAAAGGAAAATTAGTCAAATGGATTTGAATAATATGCAAATAAAGATCACGCTTAGACAAAAGTAGCAAAAATGTACTGGTTAAAATTTCCCCAATTATTTTAAAGAAATAGAACAAAAAATCATCAGATTTGTATGGAAGCACAAAGGACCCCGAATTGCCAAAGTCATCCTGAGAAAAAAGAACAAGGCTGGAGTCAGGCATCACTCTGCCAGACTTCAAATTATACTACAAAGTGACAATCATCAAAATGGCATAGTATTGACAGCAAAGCAGACACAGACCAGTGGAACAGAATTCAGAGTCCAGAAGTAAACCCATATTTACATGGGCAAATAATTTGCGACAAAAAAGCCAAAAACATACAGTGGAGAAAGGAAAGCCTCTTCAATAAATGGTGCCGGGAAAACAGGAAAGCCACCTGCAAAAGAATGAAACTAGACTGTTGTCTATCACCACACACCAAAATTAACTCAGAATGGATTAAGGACCTGAATATAAGACCTGAAACAATAAAATACATAGAAGAAAACATAGGAACTAAACTCAAGGACCCTGGGACTTAAAGATTTTATAAATTTGACCTCAAAGGCAAGGGAAGTCAAAACTAAAATAAATGAATGGGACTACATCAAATTAAAAAGCTTCTGCACAGCAAAAAAAAACATCAACAAGGCAAAGAGACAACCATCCGAAAGGAAAAATATATTTGCAAGCAACACCTCCGATAAGGGCCTAATATCCAGAATATACAAAGAACTCATACAACTCTATAACATTAAAAAAAAAATCCAATATAAAATGAGCAGAAGACCTGAACAGACACTTCTCCCAAGAAGACATACAAATGGCCAAAAAACATAAGAAAAGATGCTCGACATCGCTAGCTATTAGGGAAATGCAAATCAAAACCACAATGAGATACCACCTCACACCTGGTAGAATAGCTATAATCAGCAAGACTAGTAATAACAAATGTTGGAGAGGATGCGGAGAAAAAGGAACCCTCATATACTGCTGGTGGGACTGCAAATTGGTACAGCCACTATGGAAAACAGTATGGAGGTTCCTCAAAAAACGAAGAATTGATCTACCATATGATCCAGCAATCCCTCTACTGGGTATTTACCCTAAAGACTTGAAAACATATATCCAAAAAGATATTTGCACACTCATGCTCATAGCAGTATTCATGGTGGCCATGAAACAACCGAAGTGTCCTACGAAAAAGTTGAAAATCACATGATATCACTTATATGTGGGATATAAACCTAAACGTGACAGAGACTGATAAACATGGACAATAGACTAATGGTTACCAGAAGGGAGGGGCAAAGGGAGAGGTAGGTTGGATAAAAGGGGTCAAATACGTGGTGACAGAAAGAAACCTAACATTGGCAGTGAACACACAATGCAATATATATGCCTTACTGTTGAATTGTACACCTGAAACTTACTGGATTTTGTTAACCAATGTCACCATTATTTTAAAAAAAAGAAAAAGAAGAAAAACCAACAACAAAATAATAAAATTTCCCCGACTGGAATTATAACTTGACCAGCAGCAAGCTGTGGGGCTTGGGCACACTACCTCGTCTCTTCTTCAGGCCTCCAGTTTCCTTACATGAGAGTAGGTATTAGACTCATCGATCTTAAGGTCCTTCCTAACTTTTGAATTCCCTTTTCCAAGGTTTCTGCTAACTACAGAAACAGGCAAAATACTCAGATTTTATAGCTCTAAACTTTCATCAATGACTATGGTTTGCTATGGCAAGATATATTAATAAGGCCACAGAATCAAATTTTGTGTATAAAACCTCCAACTCTAGAGTCCAATGTTAAAAGAGATTGGTAGAATTTTTAATAACAAATCCTGTGGTATAGATTAGTCACACATTTTAATTTTATCTTAAAAATAAAATACCGGTAAACAACAGATTAAGACATGTTTTAATCGAATCTATTTTACTATTACAATCATACTATGTCATTAAAGTTATTTAATTCTGTAATTATCAAGGAAAATTATATTTGACTGTTGAGTCAACTTTTCTGAAAAATACAGTTTTTGATTATGCAGTGTATCCTTGATAGCTTTTAAGCTGACATATGTTTATCAAACTGCCTCACTTTGCACACTTGTCTCAAAGGTCTTGGGGGCTGGTGACGTGCTAATGTTATTTTGGATTGGGCACTGAAAAAAGAGAATTTATAAAAGGAACAGCATAGGAGTTGAAATATGATTAATATTAACCTTTTGAAAAATAAGTGCATGAGGACAAAGTAGGGATCCGTGGCATCTGTGAAAACTTTATACATACATTGAAGATACAGAGAGACAGTGAGGCTGTGAGAGGCATGAAGCAGGAAAGGTCACATAAACAGAGAGACTGAAGGTCAGCAACAGATGTTCAGAAGAGTGGTTTCTGGAGTCTGATGTCTCAGTAGGCAGTTGAGATAAAAAACCATGGGTGTTTCTGATAAGAGCAGTGGAAAAATCTAAGTTTCCATACCGATGCTACAAATTGCAAATGTTAAAATCTGTAACTGACAGAAAGCTTGGTGAACTTAAGTGTATTTTTAAAAGAAGCTTCTAATTAGAGTACTACTAATTTGATTTTGTTCTCCCGATCAATGTATCTGAGATTGTCTGATGCAAGTCATATTTTGTGGTTTACTTCTTTTTCGAACAAGACATTGTGGTTTTCACTATTTACGGTATAATGAAACATCTGATTCAATTGGTATGGCTGAATGAATAGAACAGTAATAACTTTTAGTCTCCTCCTGGGATATGTCCTCTGTTGGCATTTTTAGCTTGCAATATTTAGATGTTCTTTGGTTGCTAGTGAAACAGAATGGAATTGAAGCAGCATGACTAGGAGCAAGAAAACCCATCCTATTCACTTCATCTTTGAAATATTTACTTTTTCAGGAAAAGAAATAAAATGAAAACTAGTAAGTGCTCCTTAACCAGTCATTAAGAGGCATAATATTTTGTTAGGATCCAAAACACTTTTGTAAAATGTGAATTTTATTTTAAAGTACACATTAAGTAAGAGTAAATACATATCATCAAATCTAAAAATAGGCATCTCTTATAGGCCTGCTTCTTTAGTCAGCGTTGGACATATCTAGCAAAAAGAAAAAGGTATGTGATCTATAACAGTATTACTTAAAAGTTAGAGGCCTTAATGAACGTAAATTAAAAACCAATCTACTCTCAAAATTTTTGTATTCAATTAATGAAAAAGTATTGATGATTAATGTAAATAATAATTTTTGCAAAATTAGTATGGCTGAAATTTTTAGTAGTTGAAAACACTTCATATAGCTATAAAAAACCATATTATTGAGTCATGAAAACTGAGTAACTTAAGAAATCAGTAGTTTAGTAGTAAACTGATCAAAGCTACGTTACAGTCGTTAGTCTGTCATCTGTCCTTTATGTGATATTTGCTTTTTTAGATATTCTGATGAGTCTTTTCAAACTATATTACACACTTGGTTGCCTTCACAATGGAAACTGCAGAGCTTCAGGGCATAAGACAGGGCTGTAAATCTGTGCGCTGAGCTGGGGATGTCATCAGAGATGGCCAAGGAGGATAAGGCAAATGGTTCCTGCGCAAAAGGGTCCTGAATGACACTGTTTTGAGAATTCCTCTGTATATTTTTTATTTACTTTTCTTCCCCTTGCTATGGCTTGTCCTGTCTTGTCTGTATTCTTGCTTCAGTAACCTTCTGTTTTCCTAGTTTGATGTTGGCTGAGAAATCAGAACACCAAAGGTATTCACACTGTATCTAAAATAAATAAAAATATACCTTAAGGTCATTCACAAGAATAACAAATGTTAGCTTTAGTGTATGGACTCTGCATCATCCATTTTGGTGACTCTGAAACCCCTTGGTAGATAAAACATATGAAATGCCTACTAGCCTAGTGCCCAGCACATGGTATGTGCTTTGTAATGTCCAGAACCATATATATGTCCCACTCCTTATGCTTCCTTCTTCATTTTTAGTTTATTGTTTCTTTTCTAAGCTGTGTCTTATGAAGTAGAGATTGCTGAATAAGTGATTTCCAGCTAAATGAAGGATTACTCTGACAAACACTGGCACCTGCTCAAAACATATGAGCAAACATATATTTATAGACTCACTGCATGTACACAGAAATTATTTAAGATGTATAAATTAAATTTTAATCAGACTTTAGAGGAAAGTTATTATTAAAAAAAAATACAGTAAGCTTTAATTCATCTCATCCTACCAGGATGCAGACTCTTTCACTGCTCTGGCTGTTTGGTTAATTTCACTGTGATCACTGCCCTTCACAATGAATTCCACAGTCCACTTTGAGACTAGCCGAGTAGCGAGGAGGGTCAGGGGGTGCCACACACCACTTTCAGCCTCCACTTGAACAAGCAGTTACACAATCGTCATGTCAAAATGATCAGCCACTGCTCTTTTTTCATTTTTATAACTTCTGGATTTTAAAGCTTTTTTTCCCCTAAGGTAATAAATTCCTGTGTGTTTTATTAATAGTAAGAAGAAATTATCTGTATTTCATTAGCTCGCTGATTAATAGTTCACCTAAGAATCATAAACTTCTTTATTACCGGGTAGGTTGAATGCTCTTAAGAATCAGAGTTTATTGGTTATAGACTTCAGGATTGTTTAAAGAGCTAGAAATAGCAATCTGAGTAGATAAGACTGTGTTGATAACAGTATTAAATTATTTGGCCTTTGGGAAGCCCTTTACTAATGATGACAACATTTCAGCAGTATAGCCCAGATTTATGATGCAGTATAATGAATTCTCTAGGCTTAACGCTGTACGTGGCACTCCACATACATTATCTAATTTATTCCCTACTACAAATTTCTAATGTCAGTATTTTTATATGTAGGTTGACCTCAAGTCTAACAATGTCAGCTATTACCTTTCATTCTGCAAATAATCACAATGCACTGAAAGCCTACTACGTGCCAGGCCCTGTTCCAGACACACGGAAACAATAACAGCAAAAAATATATAGACAAAAGTTTCTGCCCTCATAGGCCTAAATCCCAACAGAGAAGACAGATAATGAACAAAATAAAATTTAAAACATAGCATATGAGGTGGTGGTAAGTGCCATAGAGAAAAATAAAGCAGGCAAGGAGGATATAGTCAGATTGCAGGAGTCAGCTGCAATTTTAAATTGAGTGACCAGGGAAGCCATTAGGAGAGTAACAGTTGACCTGAAACTTACTGGATTTTGTTAACCAATGTCACCATAATAAAAATTAATTTAAAAAAAAATTGAACAAAGACCTGAAGGAGGTGAGGGAGCAAGCTATGCAGACCCAGTGGGGAAGAATATTCCAGGCAGGGAGAAGAGCAAGCGGAAAGACTAGGGTGAGAGCCTGCCTGGACATCCCAGTGGTTGAGGAGCAGGGAGGAGACGAGGTCAGAGATGTCACTGGGGCCAGATGGGAGAGAGCCCCAGAGGCCATGTGAAAACGTGAACTTTCAGTCTGAGCGAGAGGAAAGCCACTGGAAATTGTGAACAGGGCAGTGACATGAGTTAACGTCTGCGTAAGAAGCTCACTCTGGCTGTTGTGAGGAGCCTAGATGGAGAGGAACACACGTGGTGGCTGGGAGCCCAGTTCGGAGGGCATTGCCACAACCCAGGTGGGAGCTGGGGATGCGTGAAAGGCAATCAAACTCTGGAAACATTTTGATGGTGAGAGAAACAGAGGCGACATGGATAATGCCAAGGTTTTCAGCCTGAGCAACCGCAACATGGAGGCTGAGGGAGGAGCTGATTCCGGAAGGACGAGGGAGAGTCTGGGTTTGAATGTGTAAGGTGAGGATGATCCATTAGGCAGTTTGGGGTTCGAGGGAGACATCTAGACTGAAATATACAACTGAAAAAAGCCTGAAATCAAGACAAGCGACACATATCGCCCTGATGTGTCCCCTGCAGGGTTATCTCAAAGGCTGCTTTGGACGCTGGTGACCTTCACATCATTCAGAAACAAAGGAAGGGAGAACCAACACTGTTGAACTATGTCACAGATTCTGAGCTGGGCTTTTAAAATACATTCTTTCTCTAAATTTCCTCAAAGGGTATACAGTATTATCTTATTGAATAAGGCAACTAAGATTCAGAGAGAATACTTTGCCAAACCAAACACTGCAGAAAATATGGGAGCCTAGATTTGACTCAAGCCTTCTGATCCCCAGATCTGAGTGCATCTCAGATGCACTCTGTAAGACCAGGTCCCTGAAGCAACAGAAGAAAACTATCACGTGCAGCGCATATATTTTATGCATTTGATCAGTTACCTTGCAGCTCACTTACCACATTCAGCAACATGATGATACAGAAGTTGATGCACACAGCAGTCCCTGTGGTTGCAACCTGAGAGTTATTTCTGATCAATGCCCACTTGAAGGCAGCAAAAGTGCTGACGGTCACCACCCGATAAATGACGATCCCGAACACAGCGGCGATTACCACGCAGATCTGGCAGGAAGAAAGAGGAGACCCAGTGAGTACCATGGTGGAATGTTGCAGGCAGAAGGTTCCCGCCACCTGGAAAATCTTCTGAGGACAGAAGAAAATAAAGCAACGATGGCACTGACTCAACAAACCACAACAAAATGCACACACTTCATATTTTCTCTTGTCTATTTGTATTTTCTTTGTTATTCAAAGAATAGCACTTGAAAGCTTCAGGGTAACATTTATTAAGCAGAATATCCGATTGAGCAGATAAGCAGGTATTTACTATGGAAATCTTACAATGTCCCTCTTCTGTTTAGAACTAGTTATTGGTTTCCTTTCACTCTCTGGATAAAAGCAAAGCCCTTAGTGACCTGTAAGACGCTTCACAGCCCCACTGTGTGCCACTTTCCCTGCCCTTGGGGGGTTCCAGACTTTCTCTCATTGTTTCAAATGGGCTAAGTACCTTTATTCTTCAAGACTATTTCCTTTGCCTAAAATGCCAACCCCCCTATTCCCCTACCCAATACACACATGGCCTGGTTAACACCTGCTCATCCTTCACATGTCAGCTCAAGAACCACTTCAAAATTAAAGCTTTTCATGACTCCTCAGGTTTTTTGTTTGTTTTACGGTAACTATACTCTCTTTTCAGTACCTGCCTATAATTTGTAACAACTTGTCAGCCTGATTACTGCTGGTCTCCTTGGCTTAGAAGGTGAGCTCCATCAGGGCGGGGGTGGTACCTGTTTTTGCTCACCATGGTTTCTGCAGCTACTTAGCATAATTGCAGGTAGTTACTTGTTGCTGAATAAGCCAACTTTGTGATAGGTGCATAACCTCTTATTAATTACATATAAATATAGACCGAACTGAAGCATCTTTCTCTGAAGAGTTCATGGTGTTAGAGAAGAACACAGCATGCCTTCTTTCC